ACAGATAAAACTGGCTGTCACCCAAAAATAACAATAAATGATTAAGAAACTGAAAATGTTACAAACTTTGAATATCTAGGCTCTATAATAAACAGCAATGAAGACTGTTTGACAAAAATTAAAAGGAGGATGGCCATAGCAATGCGAAGATTGAACAGCCTTAAAAGTCTATGGTTAAGCACCAGCAAGGAGATAAAAATTAGAATTTTGAGAGCATGCATCTTTCCTGTAGTTACATACGGATGTGAGTCGTGGACTATCTCTCAGTCCTTAAGAAAGAGAATAGGGGCTTTTGAGCTGAAATGCTATAGAAAGATTTTCAGAATATCTGGGACAAAGAAGAGGAGAAATACTGACGTCTTAAAAGATGTGAACATCAAGAAAGGATCGGCTAATAAACAGCATCCTGTCTCTAAAGCTGACATATTTTGGTAATATCAAGCGCCACGACGGACTGGAAAAAATTTAAGCAGATGGCATGGTACCAGGAAGGAGGAGCAGAGGCCGACCGACACGAAGATGGGCACAGGATATAAGTGACTCCTTGAGTATGAAAGTACATGAAAGTTAAAAGATCTGAACATCAAGGAAGATTGGCTAATAAACAGCATCCTGTCTCGAAAGCTGAAATATTTTTGTCATTGGAAAAAAAAATGGGCACAGGATATAAATGACTCCTTGAGTATGAAAGTACATGTGGCGGGAGAACTGGCGAGAGACCGAGTTTCTTCCAGGCAGACAGTGATGAGAGCGACGTTCTGCAAAGGACCTACTACATGATGTGTCCATGGCGAGCCGCAAACGCCGCTTGGAGGTGACAGGTTCGATTCCCGTCACGGTACCTATAGCTTTTAATTTTATGTTTTCTTAAGTGCCTTTCTATCTTCCTATTACTTACTATGAGTTCCGATCAGTATATGGTCTGTTTGTTTATTGTGTATGTATACAAGTATGTATATTTAAATATATGCATTTGCCGTTCATACTTTTTTTTTATTTTTAGCCTAAATTCATACTATGCGTTTTGACATGTGAACATAATATGTTTGGTAGATAAAAATAAAATTGATGTGTGAAAGTTGAATGTATGAGAGCGCTTAATGTAAGTTGAGTCTACATGCCCAATTGTGATCCTAGAAAAACAAATTGTTTTGTTTGTTCATTCGGTAGTATATCTGCCCGTATTTACTTAATCGTATCTTGACAGTTTCAGGAAGAATGGACGGACCAAACTGGAGAAAGTATTACTGTTTTTGGTGGTGGCTTTGCTGGCTGCTCTGGTGGCTGTTGTGGTGGTGTTCGTTCTTAGTCAGGGAAAACATTCAACTAGCTCGCAACAACAAGAACCTTCTAGTGCCGGTAAGGTTTGTCTTTTTCATTTCATTCATAAACAGACTGCCCTGACTGGCCACAAGCAAACAGATCAACATGTTGACTGACGAATAGATCAGCAGATGGGTAAAAGGCCTTTTGACTTGAATACAGTCAGCTGATAGGTAGACAACTTGACTAAACGACAAATCGGCAGACAAATAGGACTACTAACTGGCAGATTGACTGATCAGTCAGCAAAATTAATATCTGTACATATGCAACCTTTCTATCTGTTTGTCTACCTCTAATCTACCCGCCTGTCTTGCTGTCTACCACACTGTCCGTGTGTCTGTCTGACTATCTGTTTATCAGTCCGTCTACCTTTGCCTACAGTCACCTAAGGTCTGTGTGTGTGTGTGTATATACATTTCAGACTCTTCTTCTCTGCGTTCGGTTTCGTATGCTCAGGTCAGACCATCAAGTGAGTTACCACAATGAACTCGCCTGTCAGCTGCAGGTCCTTTATGGTTTCCCTATAGCCTGCTCTTCAATTAGTTCTTAAGACCAGGTGTCTTTTCGAAGTTATAGAGTGCGCAGGTCTGCAGAATGTGCTCAGGCGTTTGTGCACACTGTGAGAACTGTACAGTCTTGTGGTAGTTTAACATGCAGTGTCCTGTTCTTAGAAGGAAGACTTCATGTTGCTTTCTGTTGAGTCTGCTGATGGGGCCTTGTGGATGTTTACTGTTGATTTGTTCTGTCCATAATTCCTTGCATTTTCCGTTGATAAGTGTTTTAATTTTTGGTAAAGATCCTTTCAACCTGATGTCTGTCTTTCTATCTTTCTGTCTGTATGCCTGCATATCTGGCTGTCTCCATCATTATGTCTTACATAAACAGAAGTGGAACCCTTAAGGCCGTAGAAACATAATATATAATAAACAAACAATGTATTGATCGGCACTCATAGAACGAGGTTGAAACGTAGATGGACACACTAGACAGCATAACAATAGAATGCTATAATTACCGTGTCAGGAAACGAACATGTCAAAGTTGGTAATAGTTGCTCATGTATCTTAGTGCATTTGTTTCCACAGAGAGGCGTATACGCCATTTGGTTGTGACAGGTTCAGTTCCCTGGCACGTAATAAATATAGCTTTAGATTTTTATGTAGTCTAATCTGTCCTTCAATCGTTCTACTTCTTCCTGTGAGTGCCAATAAATACATTGTCCTTTTTTGTGTGATATAAAATGCATCGTTAGGTCTGTCTGCTTGCTGATCTATCTGCTTGTCTGTCTATCCGCCTGTCTGCCTGTCGTATGTCTGTTTGTTTGATGTTTCCTATAATTTAACCAGTATCTCCATAACCAGTCGTGCAACATTTCCATCATCAGAACCAGATGTCTGTCTCACAAAGGGGTGTATAGCCGCAGGTAAGACCGTCTCGTCTTTCTTGTAGTTAGGGCATTCCTCTGTTCTATCTAGTTCAGACACGCCTTTCTTCTATCTACTAGCTTATCTCTTGGAAACTCATTTATTTCTCTTTATGTCTATAGGAACAATGACAAGGCCGGACTTTTGTTTAATGACCTTGGCTACAAAGTCGACTTGGCCTTGAAATAAGTACCAGGTACAGTCCTAGTTAGTAAAGGCGGCCGGCGTAATGCTGACCACATCACCCACCAATTGCCGATTGATCTTCAAAATATAGGTCTAGCCCTATATACACAATAAGCTTAAAGGCGTGGAAAAGGGTCCTTTGCTTACCTTTGCTGTACGAACATAACATGCTGTACTGATAAAACACAATTGCTGTCTGAAAGGTGAGTTCGTGGAAGGCTCGAATGTGTGACAGGCATGTGTGCTCACGTTATGATCATTTTCTAAATGCAGTTCTTTTGTACGTCAGTTTTGTAGAAGCTGCGGTAACGTAGTGGCTAAACCTTAACCTGCCGGCACGAGGGTCTAGGTTTTAGTCTGCATCGAGTCGATGTTTTTTTAATGACCCTAGCTTCTAGGTCAAACTAGCCTACAATAGGGAGAACATAGACCGAGAGAACTACAGAGGGAGAACATAGACCGAGAGAACTACAGAGGGAGAACATAGACCGAGAGAACTACAGAGGGAGAACATAGACCGAGAGAACTACAGAGGGAGAACATAGACCGAGAGAAGTACAGAGGGAGAACATAGACATAGAGAACTACAGAGGGAGAACATAGACCGAGAGAACTACAGAGGGAGAACATAGACCGAGAGAACTACAGAGGGAGAACATAGACCGAGAGAACTACAGAGGGAGAACTTAAACAGGGAGAGAGAGAGACATTTGCAGCGAGGCGAAGACAGGAGAACATAGACAGAGTAAATTAGACAGAGAGAGACACACACAGAGGTAGATAGGAAGACACAGACAGAGATAGGTAGACAGAAAAATATAATAGAAGACGTGTAAACAGAGAGGCATAGACAATGATAGGTTGACAGAGAGAAAGGTAAACAGAGAGGCATAGACAATGATAGGTTGACAGAGAGAAAGGTAAACAGAGAGGCATAGACAATGATAGGTTGACAGAGAGAAAGGTAAACAGAGAGGCATAGACAATGAGTTAAACAGAGATCAAAGACAGAAAGATACAGAGAGACAGGGATATGCACAGACGGCAACAGAGATAGACAGAAGCGCATGAACTGAAAGAAAAAAGGGGAGGAACATAAGAGGAAGAGAAGTAGTTATAGAAAGAGAGTTTGAACGACACCAAGAAAAAGACAGGACGGACACACAGAGAAATAGAGATAGAAAGAGAGACACAGACAGAGAAAACATAGAAGTCGTCGCAAAAAAAAATATAGAAAAAGATAAAACAAGTGGGAGGAAAAAAAGAGAATAAGAGAGGGGGAAGAGAGAGTAATATAGTAAGACAGGCAGAAAAGCAATTACAGAAAAAGAGACAGAAAAGGCATACACGTGAAGAAAAAAAGAGAGACAAAATAGGCATACACCTGGAGAGAAAGAGAGAGAAAGACAGAGAGAGAGAGAGAGAGAGAGAGAGAGAGAGAGAGAGAGAGAGAGAGAGAGAGAGAGAGTATATTCTAGTTATCCAAATGTCCCGACTAAACAAATCCCAACGACTTGTTGTGTCAAACAGCGGCCAGGATCGACAGCTACATCGACTACAGCATCGACTCCTGCCAGGACTTCTACCAGTTCGCTTGTGGCCGGTGGATGAAGGAAAACATCATCCCAGATGATAGTCCAAGCCTCAGCACGTTTGGCATGCTCCGCGACCAAGTGGATATAGTTCTCAAAAGTTGGTCAATAGTTGGTGTTTGTCCTCAAAACTTAGTGAATAGTTGGTGTTTGTTCTCAAAGCTTGGTGAATAGTTGGTGTTTTTGTCTCCAAACTTAGTGAATGGTGTTTGTTCTCAAAATTTGGTGAAGAGTTTGTTTTTGTCCTCAAAGCTTGGTGAATGGTTGGTGTTTGTTCTCAAAGCGTGGTAAATAGTTGGTGTTTGTTCTCAAAGCTTGGTGAATAGTTGGTGTTTGTTCAGAAAACTTGGTGAATAGTTGGTGTTTGTTTTCAAAACCTAGTGAATAGTTGGTGTTTTTTCTTAAAACCTAATGAATAGTGTTTGTTCTCAACACTTGGTGAAGAGTTTGTTTTTGTCCTCAAAGCTTGGTGAATAGTTGGTATTTGTTCTCAAAGCTTGGTAAATAGTTGATGTTTGTTCTCAAAGCTTGGTGGATGGTTGGTGTTTGTTCTCTAAGCTTGGTGAATAGGTGTTTGATCTTAAAACTTGATGAATAGTTGGTGTTTGTTCTCAAAGCTTGGAGAATAGTTGGTGTTTGATCTTAAAACTTGGTGAATAGTTGGTGTTTGTTCTCAAAATTTGGTGAATAGTTGGTGTTTGTTCTCAAAGCTTGGTGAATAGTTGGTGTTTGATCTTAAAACTTGGTGAATGGTTGGTGTTTGTTCTCAAAACTTGGTGAATAGCTGGTGTTTGTTATCAAAGCTTCGTGAAAGTTGGTGTTTGATCCCTAAAGATGATAAATAGTTGGTGTTTGTCATCAAAACTTGGGGAAAGTTGGTGTTTTGACTTTGACAGTTGGTAAACAGTTGGGGTTTTTCTCTTTAAAAGACAAGGTCAATCTTGAATGTTTGTCATCTGATGTTGGTGAACACTGGATACAGTTTGTCAAATATTAGTAAAGGTGGATGCAGTCCCTCAAATGTTGATGATGTTGAATGTTTGTCCTCAGATGTTTGAGAAGGTTTAATGTAAGTCTTCGAATGCTGGTAAGTGTTGAAGATGGGTTCTTACATGTGAGTTACAAATGTGATTGGTTTTTGAATGTTTGTCCACAAAAGTCGTTGAATAAGTTGCTCTTTATCCTTTAAAAAAAGACGGTGAATGATAATGTTTGTCCTGAAAACATGGTGGATGTTGGGTGCATGTCCTTACGCGTTAGTGACTGATGAATGGTTATCCTTAAAAGTTTAGGGAAAGTTGATGATGGTGAATGCTTATCTTTAGAAGATTATAGTAGAAAGTGCAGGATAATTTTCACCCCATTAGCCCAACAAGCATACAGTGCTGGTCCAATATATATCGTGTATCAGTTATTACTCCAGGTGATGCAGGTGTATTCGGAAACGAGCAGCCAGACTGACTGACCGGGTCGGCACCACTTGATGGTTAATTGATGCATGACAGGCTAAATATTATGAGGACCCTTTAGGAGCGAGTAAGCAGAGCCAAGGCACAAATGCATCAATCAATACGCGACGCTCGACACTCAAAGGAAAGGCGAGACGGATGTACAATCAGGCAGTTACTTGTACCATCGGAACTGGAATTCTTTGCTTGCTGCTGAAAATTGGGACGGAGCGCTTATAGGAGAGTCTCGAGTACTTTGATGTCCTTCTTAATTCATGGAGAAAACAGATAGAAAAGACACAGAGCATGCGACTCAAGCGAACCCAACTGATAAGGAAGTTAGCAGGAACAGACTGGGGAGGGGGAGGGGGGGGGGCAAACCTCAGTGTCCTCAAGAGGACCTGTACAGGCTATGTGAGGCCAACACTAGAATATGGAATAGCTGCTTGGGGCACAGCAGCTAAATCAAATTTTCAGAAAGTCTCAAAGATCCAAAACCATGCTCTCCGTATTATGACAGGGGCCATACGCTCCACGCCCATATCAGACATGGAGGCACTTACTGGTCTCCATGATCTGGAAGGTAGGAGAGACACAAAGATCCTCACCCAGCTCTCTAAATACCACCACTTTCAAGAACAACCCATGTACAGCCGACTGCAGAAACCCCAGAAGGCTAGTCTAAAGAGAACATGTTTTATTCAGAACGCAAATGCCAAGCTGGCTGTCCACAAACTTCCTCCCATAATACCAAATGACCCACTGAAACCTTACAACGACTGCCCCCCTTGGCTTAGGGATAACCTGCCAACAGTCAGAACCACTGTAACAGGGATCCTCCAAATCATCAATGAGCACCACTGATAGGAAATCAATTACAAAAGGAGAGATTAATAGACTTTATTTACACCAGAGTTGGATCAGAATGTATACAGATGGTTCAGCCAATATAGCAGTAAGAGACGGAGGAGGAGGTGGTATGTACATAGAATGCCCAAATAGTTTAAAAATCAACCAGGCTGTACCAACAGGTTCATAAAATCAACCAGGCTGTACCAACAGGTTCATATACTTCCAAATACAAAGCAGAGGCAGCACTTCTAGCGGTATATTCTTTACTGAATGGACAACAGCACAGCAAACATGGGAGAGTGGTCTTTCTGACTGATGCTATGTCAGTTCTATAAGCAATTGGTAACCCTAAAGACACTCAGTCTGTAGACTTGACGCAACAGCTAATTCACATAGGCTCTTCATTACTGCAGTGGATTCCAGGTCACTGTGGCTTGAAAGGCAATGAAATAGCGGACAGATTGGCCAGAAGCGGCATTGACATGGTTCACCCAAATAATGACTTGACCCACCAAGAGACGAAAACATTAATACAGTCTAGTATCAAGAAAGGTCGGCTCTGTGGCTAAGTCGAAGCGAATGCTTCGTAATCCCAAGATGCCGGGTTCGATCCCAGCTGCGGGCCATACGCTTTGCGTTGGTTTCGACAGTGGTATCAGGGGGCCGACTGTCCAGACAGCAGTGGCAAACTACTGGGCGTAAATTTGCCTAGAGAAGCCACACAACAGCCAGGGGCTGCTGTGGTTTGTTCTGCTACCTCCTGTAAAGGATACGCAGCTAACCTATATATCCAAGAAAGGTGGCTGGATACACATGGAAGATTCTCTCCCTCAATACTCGCTTCATCACTTCTCTAGAGAGGGACAGTGTATTATAATCAGACTATGGGCAGGGCACAACAGACTTCGTCAACATATGTTCACATTTTTCGGTGATCTCCAGATAGGTGTATCGGACAGGGGACATCTTGCTTGTGATCGAGATGTTTTCCGGAGGGTTGTTTTGGAAGCAAGGCTCTGCATGGACCATGCTACTGATTGACTAATTGAAATTTACAATTGTCACTCTGATGTGACATTGACGTGACAAGTGGTCTTTACTTGCTGTTAGTTTATCCCAAGAGAGATGAGATTACATCTATTGTTGCATTGCCAGATTTACTGGAAGAGGCCGACAATCCCACTGACTTAGGATGCATCAAGAAAGCCAAAGACTTCTACAGGGCATGTATGAATTTAGGTAAGATCTGGCGTTTTAAAATCTATGTTCAAACGTTGAGCCCAAATTTAATTTACTTTGGTTTTCTATGTAATCGATTAAAGTAACCAGCGTGAATCCCATTTTCGACGTCTGTGACAAAATTGTTCTGAAAATTGAACACTCTGTCTCAACTCCAACATACAGACGACTGAAACCAACTTCAGGCGAACTGAATATCTTGTTGATTTTGGTAATGATATTTGCAGCATACGGTTCAGAACAGTGTCAGACTACTGCTACTACTGCTACCAGTGCTGCTAATACTGCTACTGCTTCAAGCCCTTCTACTGCTGCTTCTACCACCACCACCAACGCCGCTGCTGTTACAGCTGCTATTACTGCTGCTGCAGCTACTATTACTATTGCTGCTACTATTGCTAGTACTACTATTAGTAATTCTACTACTACTACTACTACTACTACTACTACTACTACTACTACTACTACTATCAGCGGCGTCGGTAGCTCAGGCGTTGCGAGTCCGACTCGTAATTCCAACGTACCGCGATCGAACCAGTTGCTGGCTGCGTGGATTTTTATCGTGGTATGGGGCGCCGCAGGTCAACCCAGCTTAAAATGGATACCAGGGTGTATGTCCTGGGGAAGTACAGACGACCGGCGTAATGCTAACCACATTATCCACCTATCACCGATTGGTCTGTAAAAGATATGGGCGCTGTTCACATATGCCAGATGCGCCTAAAGGCGTGAAAAGGAATCTTGACTCTTTACTTACTACTACCACACTGCCACTACTACTGCTGCTGCTGCTACTACTTAACATTTGACAATGTTAATAGACTTCACATGTCATGGAAACTATGTTTGGCAATCTCTTTCACAACCAGATGTTATCAACTCAAGAGGAGACGCATCACTAAGGGATTTGCTGTTGGCAGAGTTTGGAGGCTGGCCACTGGTCACTAGCAACTGGTCAGATGAGAACTTTGACCTCGTCTCCACACTGATCCACTTGAACACTTTTGGTATTTTCCCGGTAATTTCCTTTCTCGTGGGCGCTGACTACAAGAACTCCACCAAGTATGTTTTTAAGGTCAGAGGATTTGTATGTTGCTGTCAAATTTTTGTTTTTTAAGGGACAATTTTCCTCATTTTTAGGCTTATTGGGCATATAGGGCTAGACCTATATTTTATATATTTATCTGTACTTGGTGGGTGATGTGGTCAGCATCATGCCGGCCACCTTTACTTCCAATGATTGTACCTGGTACCGACAGGTACCACAGGGTCAACGTGAGAGCCAAGGACATTTTCTTGTGAGAAAAAAAACCCGGCTCCCTCAGGGCATTAACCCAAAACCTTCAGTCCGCACTGGCTACACTGGTTTTGATTGTTGCAGATAAAACAACCATCTTTTCGTATGCATAACTTTTGGTTTTCATTGTTGCAGATAAAACAACCATCTTTTCGCATGCATAACTCTTGGTTTTGATTGTTGCAGATAAAACAACCATCTTTTCGCACGCATAACTATTGGTTTTGATTGTTGCAGATAAAACAACCATCTTTTCGCATGCATAGCTCTTGGTTTTGATTGTTGCAGATAAAAAAAACCATCTTTTCGCATGCGTAACTCTTGGTTTTGATTGTTGCAGATAAAAAAAACCATCTTTTCGCATGCATAACTCTTGGTTTTGATTCTTGCAAATGGAACAACCATCGTTTCCTATGCTTAACATTTGGTTTTTATTCTTGCAGATGGAACAACCATCATATCCCATGTTTAACACTTGGTTTTGAATCAAGCAGTTGAAACAACCATCTTTTCGCATGCTTAACACTTGGTTTTGATTCTTGCAGATGCAACAACCATCTTTTCGCATGCCTAATACTTGGTATTGATTCTTGCAGTTAGATCAACCAACTTTTGGTATGCCCGGACAGAAGTATTACCAGGTGCCTAGAAACGACACCATGTTGATGGCGTATGAAGAATACATTTTTCAAGTGGGACAGCTCCTGGGTTTTGTCCATCCCAGTTCGGCGCGGCAGGAAGTTGCTGATATTGTTGACTTTGAAATTCTTCTAGCCAACGTGAGTTACATCTCTTGTCATTTTTATCAAAAACTGGAAGGGGGAAATAGGTCAAAGTGTCAGAACAAACAACAGACTTGTGTAATGTTCTAATCACACATGGCTGGGAGTGCAGGAATTTGCCAGCAGGCGCTGCAGAATCAGGAGTTAAACAACTGATTCATGACAATTCCCTTCGAGATGATGTGATTATTTAGACAGATGGCTCTGTGTTGAAATGCAAGAGAAGTGTATAGTGGTTCATTGCGAAAACGAATGGACGGGACTTAGTTCAGCAAAGAATAGTGTATACTACTACATCATCTAGTTTGAGAATGGAGGTGGAGGCATTCGTCGCAGCAGCTTTTCTCTGGCTTGAGTACCAGCTGTACACACATTTCGTGATTGCAACCCGACGGTTGCAAAAAATGTTTAAAATGAAGGAGACTGGCATGTTGCATGCAGAGTGGCAAACATCGCTTCAGAGATCACGGGTAGTTAGGGTTCTTCGACTATTTTCTCTAGGGCATGCAGGTATGTCAGAAAATAAAGAGAAGACAGACTGGCTGGTTTTGCACCACTGGGTGAAACATTTTTGAATGACAAGCTGGATGTGGGAGCACGTGAACAGTACAGAGGCACGAATCGATCATTATGGTCTGGAGAGAATGATGCGGCTAGGACTGACTAGAGGATCTGGCCGATTCTCTAGCAAGACGGGCACACAATTAAACTGCTTCTGGCACCATCGAAACTCTTTGCTGGCTGCTCAAGATGAGGACGGAGAGATTATAGGAAGATCGCGAGTGCTGTAAAGACAGTTATTAGCTCAGAACTCAACACTCAACACTTCTTATTGTACCTGAAAGACACTGATGGAAATCTAGCTCCCAGCACCACGAAAGGCCAGTGTGGACTCCAGGATCTCGGTTTTGGGAGAAATAAGAATAGTTGCACTGCTCCTTCCCTTGAGAATCATGTCGTAGAAGGCGACTTGGTATGCCAGCAGTATCGGTTGGTTGGCATATTGCTAGCAACCTGCGATATGTTGACAATATAATTTTCATTGCAAAAAAAAAAAAAAAAAACAGCTGGAAGACATAGTGGATATAATTGTAACAGACAGTCAAAAAACCGATCTTAGTTTCAACAGCAGAAAATTATAAATAGTGATAATTAATTACCAAGAACATGAAACCTTTAAAATGAAAGAATCCGCCAAAATGTGACAATAAAGTAAATGGATTGAACAATCCTCAAGCAGTTTGTTACGTTTAAGTACTTGCGTTCCCTGAAAGTAGCAGATTGGAGATATATTTTTAAAATCTTAATGTAAAGCAGCTCAAGCAATAACAGAATTAACAAAATAAGGAATGTTCTATGCGATCTTTCTTTATCAGTTTAGGTAAGAAAATGCTATGTAAATCGATACGGAAGTGAATCGGACCATTAGTAAAAAAAAATTAGATGGAAGCGTTAAGGGCGTGGTTTTAAAGACGAGTAATGATAACACCATGGACAGATTTAAAAAAAAAAGTTATGAAAATGTCTGGAAAGAAACTGACTCGCGAAGAGAACTGATTGCCCACATCATACGGAAATCTATATTCTGTGGAGAAAAGGAGACAACTAGGACGTTGTATGGGAAAAGGCAGAGGGAGACGGAGGGAGAAAAGGAGACAACTAGGACGTTGTATGGGAAAAGGCAGAGGGAGACGGAGGGAGAAAAGGAGACAACTAGGACGTTGTATGGGAAAAGGCAGAGGGAGAAGGAGGGATCAAAGGAGATAACTAGGACGTTGTATAGGAAAAGGCAGAGGAAGACATAGGGAGAAAAGGAGACAACTAGGACGTTGTAAAGGAAAAGGCAGCGGGAGGCGGAGGGAGAAAAGGAGATTACTAGGACGTTGTAAGGGAAAAGGCAGAGGGAGACAGAGGGAGAAAAGGAGACAACTAGGACGTTGTATGGGAAAAGGCAGAGGGAGACGGAGGGAGAAAAGGCTGGGCAGTTTTACATCAAAGCAGGAAAGGTCAAATGTCAGAACTGACTGAAACTACCCGAGACACAAGGGTGAGGATAGACATGATTACTAACGCCAAACGGCTTGAACTTTGAGAAGAGGGAGAAAATGTGACTATGAATGGGTTCACCTGAATGGGATGTGTTGGCCTGAAATGCACAGATATCACAGCCTAGTTGTAAACCACAACATAGTATGCCAACGGCCTTTTTAAGGGAGAACGTATAGAAGAAGAAGAGACAGTAAAAATGTCTATACTTCAGTGTTTCTGTTCGTTACAAAATGATAATAATAAGTTTGACGCTTTTATAATATATTGTAGATATCAGTTCCTGACGAGAACAGACGGGACAGCCTTGCCCTGTACAACCCCATGACCTTGGCTGAAGTTCATGGCAACTATAGCCAGGTAGGACCTGTACTGTTGTATGGCAGACGTGTGTGTGTGTGTGTGTGTGTGTGTGTGTGTGTAAATGTCAGACGCGTGTGAGTATGTGTGTGTGTGTGTGTGTGTGTGTGTGTGTGTGTCGCAAACGTGTGTGTGTGTGTCTGTAGAAAAATGGAAGGGCCCTTTTAAAGCAAGAGTTACATTATAGGCTGACCATAATTTTTTGAGCTGAAAACGGGACATCCTACTAATATTTTAGCTGAAAACGGAGCATCCTACTAATATTTTAGCTGAAAACGGAGCATCCTACTAATATTTTCAGCCGAAAACGGGACATCCTACTAATATTTTAGCTGAAAACGGGACATCCTACTAATATTTTAGCTGAAAACGGAGCATCCTACTAATATTTTAGCTGAAAATGGGACATCCTACTAATATTTTAGCTGAAAACGGAGTATCCTACTAATATTTTCAGCCGAAAACGGGACATCCTACTAATATTTTCAGCCGAAAACGGGACATCCTACTAATATTTTCAGCTGAAAACGGGACATCCCAAGCAAGTCAGTTTAACCCCCTTTCGCACTCCCCGACCCCACCTCTCTTTTTATACAAATACACTCGGATGAGTGGGTTTTTACTCGCTTAACAAAGGTAATAAAATCAGATCCATTAGCGCCAAGAAATAAACGAAACAAAACGCTCTTTAATGTCACTGATAGAAAAAAACATGCTACAATAAAAAAAAAAAAAAAACATCGAGACATTTCAGGCATTCAAAGTGTCTAACAGCTTTGAAATCGTATGAGGTCTACAGATATAACTTTAAGTGCATGTTCCTTTCTGTAGCTTATTCCTAGATTTCCACAAAACGGGATAATCTTAGTTTTGTTTAGTACCGAGGGACGGTAGGGACTATGCTAAAAACGGGACAGTATCAGTGAAAACATGAGGTATGGTCTCAATATTCAAGAAATGCAGTGATCGTCTCTATCTCCGTTTTTTTTTTCTTTGATATATATTTGCCTTTTGAACGCCACTCTTCTGACAGTTGCTTTCTGTACTGGTCAGTTTCAGGTGTTTGACTGGCTGACCTATGTCCACTCCCTGACGTCACGTCCAGAGCTGGGCCTGACTGGTGTCACAGAGGAAGAAATCATCATCAATGCATCACCTCCGTACTACCAGCGACTAATTGATGTACTTGCTACAACTCCCAACAGGTTGGTACCATTCATCCTTCCTCTGAAATGAGCGAGATATCCTTGAAACTATTATACGGCGATAGAAGAGGAAAACATTGGCACACTATGCGATAAAACAGGACGTTGCAGAAACAACCTCAGCAGTTAGTGTGTCATTTCCCTATCAATTTTACGTTCAGTAATTTTCCAGTCTAGGCGCTGAATGTTATGGGTTCGAGTCCTGACGGAGCCGGACATTTTTCAAAGATAACATTGGCTCCCAGATCGACCTAGCCTTGAGTGGGTACCCGGTACAAGCCCTGGAAAGTAAAAGCGGCTAGCATGATACTGACCACATTACCCAGGTGATGATTAGGATTTAGAAATATAAGTCTAGAACTATATGCCCAATTCGTCTGAAGGCGTGAAAAAGGTCTTTTACTGTTCACTTAGTTTGCCCGTTAACGTTCGACTCGATACCATCATCAGAACCGAAGCAAGGCGGTCTACTGCCAAGTCGCCCACAGCTGGAATCAAACCAGGCATAATGTAATTACGATGTCCGTGTGGCCCACTGGTTGGCCAGTAGACGACTTCGTTGTGGGTCGGGACAGTATTTGGATCTGTCTCCTTTGATCACATCAACACTGCAAGCGACCTTTTTATGGCCACTTTGTGGTGGGCAATGTTCAGCCATTTTAAGTGGCGCAAATAACCTAGTCACAATTATAACTAAAAGCTTCCTCCTTCGGGGTTGCTGCTTGAACGTGGCTATTTTTTTTTTCGCAAAACAACGCAAGTACCAGGTTTATCATCAATGTGTAGCAAGTCCTTTGCAGAACGTCGCTGTCATTACGGTCTGCCTGAAAGAAACTCCTTCCTGGTACCAGGAAGGAGGGGCAGGGGCCGACCAACACGAAGATGGGCTCAGGATATAAGTGGCTCCTTGAGTATGAGAGTACATGAGACGGGAGAACTGGCGAGAGACCGAGTTTCTTTTAAGCAGACTGTGATGAGAGCGAGGTTCTGCAAAGGACCTGCTACATAATGATGAGGAGAAAAAAATGTCACATGTGAAACTTCTATGAATGTGATAACTACCATATGTGAAACTGTCATATGAATGGAATAAATGTCATATGTTAAACTGTTATGAGGTGGATAAATGGCATATTTCAAGCTGCTATGAATGTGATTAGTATCATGTGTGAAACTGTTAATTCGTGGGATAAATGTCATATGTGAAACTGTCATGAGAAAGATACATGACATTTTGAAGCTGATATGAATGGAATAATTGACATTTGCAAACTTGCTATGAATGGAAAAAAAAAAGGGGGGGGGGTAATTTTGAAGCTGTATCGGAAGGATTGAATATCACACGTGAAGCTTTATTACGGCCTGGAGAGAATGAGGCACCTGGGTGTAACTAGATGGTCTGGTCGGCTCACTACACTCGGAGGACAGGCATGACGGACATATAACCAGATTGCGACCGGTACCGTCAGTACTGAAACTCTGCGCTGGCTGCTGAAGATGAGGACGGAGCATGCATGGGAATGCACCGAGTGCTGTGATGTCAATTCTTGACTTAACGAAACTTAACTCATACGTGAAGCTGTTATGTGTGGCATATTATTTTGTAGCATTACAGTTGTGCTTGTTTTTTTTTTATTGTTGCAGAACTGTGGCTAACTACATTGTGTGGAGATTTGTTCGAAGCATAGTATTTACACTAGGAGACAACTACAAAGAGCACTTTATTGCTTACCGAAAGGTCACTGTTCCTTGTTTTCTTTGATGTTTGTAAAGTACTATATTTTTTAAATGCCTTGACATCAGAGTGAGAAGCCTTGGAAGCCCACCCCAAAGCAGCTGTCTGCCGGGGAAAATGCTGAAAAGGTAGGCTTGTTAGTTTGAATGCGAGTTGCACTAGCTAGTGCCTACCAGAGGCTAAGACAGACCCCTTTTATCTTCTCTGGTCTGTAACGGACCCCGTACCTTTTTATAATCGTGCTGAATAATAACATTTATATTGTGAATGCGCGGGGGACCACCAGATGAGAGAGACTACACCGGCCGGTCAGATAAATTGTTGCTTTTAAGCAGTTTATTTTAAATGTTCATCAGTTAGGAGTCCAGCTTCTAATTTTGTGTTGTGAGTTAGTTTATCTTTATGGCACTCATTGTGGCTAATAGTTCTAGTCCTGTACTGGTTAACAGGACAATATAGAAAACATATAAAGTTGTGGTATACGTTCACCTGCTGGACAGACCTAGTTGTTCGTCCATATTTGTACTGGCTTTGTTCAGGACCTGAGATTTGCATTTGCGTCCATTTTACAGCTCTTGCTTATTTTTGTGCAGACTGTCGGTTCCTTGCCTCTCAGGCAGATGCACTTCAACTTTGAAGGAAGCTCCCAAAAGCTTTTGGTTAGGCAGTGGATCTGTGCTTGTTTTCCCTATTATAGGGCCCTAGAACCCACACGGGGATACAAGACATTTTAGATCGTGGATGCAGAAAGTACCCATGTGAACAGACATTGACATCACTTAAGATTAAACATGTGCTACACGCACGCTGTCTACATGAAGTACAGAAATCACTTGTTTGAGTTGTTGACATCGCAGTATAAAACCAAGCGGTGTTGAACACTGGAAGAAATGCGTCGCATAACAAGACTTGATAGAGGTTTGTTGCCTTTGGAAAACACTGGCAGCCAGGAAGAGGTGGACTCATGGGTACAAAATGCCATGGACTGTATTTCATGGTGGGGAGAATCACAAAGGGAATAGGAATAAGAGGGGGGAAGGGGTGAATGCAGACAGGTTAAGAGTTAAGCGTCTGAGAAAAAACACATGCTAATGGAACAATGATCATGGAATTCCCCGTTTTAATTGTGGAACACTGTCCTAATGCGAATGGGTCTTGCCAGTCATACTCGCCATGGCCATGGGTCGTGATTCCAGTCCTCTCCCTGGCACAGTATAACATTATTGACTAAAGAAACGGAAAGGTACCAGCAGCTCTACCTCAATGGTCTTCGATACTTTTCTGCTACTGTAGTGTGACACTGACAAGCTGACATGTCGTCAGTCACAAAGTCAATCGCTCGATTGGTTAGCAACTCATAGCAGCACATTCTCATTGTGTGTGTTTTATATAGTCGTCCCCATGTAAGATGAAATTTTTTTGTTATTTGAAGCCCCACCCTGTCTTTTGCCCTGAATATAGCAGGGCCATAAATATGTGGCGTCACGACTAAAGGGGGTCTCTAGGACCTCTCCACGGGTGATACTCATCAGCGTGTTTATCGCTTGTGTGATAGATATCTTGGTGGGGTAAACTACCCACCTTCTCGTTGTGTATAGAACTAGTCAGTCCATAAGCGCTCAGATCCGCTCCTCAGTAAATCTCCCCACTGTGCAGCAGCTGACGACACTAGCTTTGTGTTGGTTTATTTTCCTTCACTCATCATCAGCATCAAGTGCCTTGCTGACTAGCGTGGGCGATCATGTCTCTCCACAATCTGCGATCCGCAGCACGTGTCTCAATTCGTGTGTTGACACCCCTCCATCCTATGACAAATGGCTGTCAAGAATCTTCTCGCACTGTCTTCCTTTGTCTCTCTTTCAGAAAATCTTTCCAGTGGTTACAATATTTTTCCATTTTCCCTCTTCTCATAACATAACCAAAAGATAATGACTGTCTTTGTCTGATGTTTGCCTCGGGCATAGTGCTGCTTTTTATGCTTTATGTTCTAGTGTGTCTATGACTCTTT